TGTATTTAGCACAGTCTTTCCTGTACTGAAGAGGTACACAGTTCAGGGTGAAAAAGCTTACAGGAAGGGAGTTTGCATTTTCCTGTTGTCATATGGGCATGGCATTTTCTAGGGTGGTCATAGTTGCACGTCCCGTCTGTTTTTCCAGATTTCCCATGCCTGCAGATACCAAGTGCATAGTATGTACACAGGCTTGGTTTGTGTTTGCCTTGGGTTTCTGTGACTGTATTCCCTGTTGGTGCATGTTTCCCTGTCTTATTCCTGTCCTCCCTAGCACCAACAATGGAGCTCCCACCAGTTGTTTTTGGTAATATATCCTCACTATTGCTAGTGGAGTCCTCTTGTTTGCTATTTCCTGTGGTATTTCTAGTTTGCAATATTGGTTTTATCTTATCTTTGACTACACTTGTTTCCCTACTACGGCTCCTGTCCCCTATGAGGTCATTTATATGTATTCCTTCCTGCGTATAATTCCCGACTACCTGGACAAAATCCCAAGCTTCACCATTACTGTCTCCCAGGACAGCACCTCCTGTACTGGTAGTTGATCCTGTACTGGTAGTTGTTCCTGTACTGTTAGTTGTTCCTGTACTGTTAGTTGTTCTTGTACTGTTAGTTGATCCTGTACTGTTAGTTGATCCTGTACTGGTAGTTGATCCTGTACTGGTAGTTGTTCCTGTACTGTTAGTTGTTCCTGTACTGTTAGTTGTTCCTGTACTGTTAGTTGTTCCTGTACTGTTAGTTGATCCTGTACTGGTAGTTGTTCCTGTACTGGTAGTTGTTCCTGTACTGTTAGTTGTTCCTGTACTGTTAGTTGTTCCTGTACTATTAGTTGTTCCTGTACTGTTAGTTGATCCTGTACTGTTAGTTGATCCTGTACTGGTAGTTGATCTTGTACTATTAGTTGTTCCTGTACTGTTAGTTGATCCTGTACTGTTAGTTGATCCTGTACTGTTAGTTGATCCTGTACTGTTAGTTGATCCTGTACTGTTAGTTGATCCTGTACTGTTAGTTGATCCTGTACTGTTAGTTGTTCCTGTACTGTTAGTTGATCCTGTACTGGTAGTTGATCCTGTACTGGTAGTTGATCCTGTACTGGTAGCTGACCCTGTACTGATATATGGCCTGTACTGGTAGATGACATCACTTTGTCATTGTCTCTTTGCTCCAACTTGACCCAATCAGTAAACATGAAGCTCTGACATCATTGAAGACCCCAATGGAAATAAGTCACTTACACTTTTTTTTTCTGGGGGGGGGGGAGGTATCCCTTAAGAATAGATTTTGTTTGTATTTGTAACCTGGAGAGTTATCCACCCAGGTTAAAATAGTAGTACATCATTGAGGACTGTCTCATTTCCATCGGATTCCTATTTAAGTTACAGCACCTGTAGATGATGATGATAATATCTTGCTGATGACTCTGCACTCTTGGGAGATTCTGAAGAGTAGTTGCAGAGATTGGTGGATGAGTTTGGTAGGGTATGTAAAAGAAGAAAATTAAAAGTGAATATAGGAAAGAGTGATGTGATGAGGATAAAAAAATTAGGTGATGAAAGATTGGGTATCAGATTGGAGGGAGAGAGTATGGAGGAGGCCCATCTGCTGGATGTGTCAGCAGATGGGCCTATGAAAGATGAGATGAATCATAGAATTGATGAGGGGAAAAAGGTGAGTGGTGCACTTAGGAACTTGTGGAGACAAAGAACTTTGTTCATGGAAGCAAAGAGGGGAATGTATGAGAGTATAGTTATACCAGTGCTCTTATATGGGTGCAAAGCATGGGTGGTGAATGTTGCAACAAGGAGAAGGCTGGAGGGAGTGGAAATATCGTGTCTGAAGGCAATGAGTGGTGCGAATATAATGCAGAGAATCCGTAGTTTGGAAATTAGGCGGTGCGGGATTACCAGAACTATTATCCAGAGGATTGAGGAGGGGTTGTTGAGGTCGTTCAGACATGTAGAGAGGATGGAAGGAAATAGAATGACTTCGAGAGTGTATAAATCTGTAGTGGAGGGAAAGCAGGGTAGGGGCTGGCCTAGAAAAGGTTGGAGGGAGGGAGGTAAAGGAGGTTTTGTTTGCGAGGGGCTTGGACTTCCAGCAAGCATGCGTGAGCATGTTAGATAGGAGCGAATGGAGACAAATGGTTTTTATGACTTGACATGCTGTTGGAGTGTGAGCAGGGTAACATTTCTGAAGGGATTCAGGGAAACCGGCAGACAGGACTTAAGTCCTGGAGATGGGAAGTACAGTGTCTGCACTCTGAAGGAGGGGTGTTAATATTGCAGTTTTATAACTGTAGTGTAAGTGTGCCTCTGACAAGACAGTGAATGAATGATGATGAAAGTTTTTCTTTTTTGGGCTACCCTGCATTGGTGGGAGATGACCGATGTATTAATAATAAAGAATAATAAATAAATATCTTTATTTCTACAAGTACATGTACATGGTATACAGGCCTAGTTGACATCTGTGACATACTACTAGTATATAGAAAGCAGCTTGTTATGCAGAACATTTTGGGCAAATTAGGTCAGTTTTGTCCTAGGATATAACCCACACCAGTCTACTAACACCCAGGTACCCATTTTGCTGATGGGGAACATAGACAACCAGTGTAAGGAAACACTCCCACTGTTTCTGCCCTCGCTGGGAATCGAACCCAGACCTTCGCCTTGTGAAGCGAGAGCTTTAGCCGCCAGGTGAGAATTTTTTGGTGTGAGCTGGATATGCGTAGATTGGGTTATGTTAGGCAGATTACATGCATATTACTGTGTATTATAATTTTACTTATATGCACCTGTACATAAATAAACTTATATTTTTTTTCCAGTTTGATCCAGCAATGCAGCGTTTTATGGCCATGAAAGCTACACAGTATGATCACTTTAAACCGACACCACGTACTTCACTTCTTGGGTTCACCATGATTGTTGTTCCTTTTGTAGGTTATGCCTGGTTGCTGAAGAAAGATAAAGTACGTACAGTAATTCTATTTTAATTGAATGAATTGTATGTTATGTATCAAAAGTCTAAATAAAAATTTAAGTAGGGCTTAAGTTAAGCATAAGCTACAGTGTGTATTTAAAATCAAGATTTTTCCTGTAATGTTTGATTTAACCCTTTCAGGGTCCCTAGGCCCTCTCCGAGATTTGTTCTCGGATCGTAATGACACCAACAGTATGAAATTTGATGGAAAACTTAGGGAATTATGCTCTTGCAAATTTAGTGGTCTTGACGATGTTTAGGCATCGGCGATTTTGCCCACTTTGAGCCCTATTTTCGGCCAATTCCAGTGTACTAGTCAACAAAAATCACAACTATTTCGCTAGAACTCCATTTTTTCTATCGAATGAGTACAAGAAACCACCCATTTACCGATTTCAACTATCCAATAAAGTTGTCAGAATTTAGCAATTTTGCCAATTTCACACAAATTTCAAAAGATGCCAATTTCTGAATAGGGTCCAGAATAAACAAGAAAGACATTCCTGGCACTAAAATAAGTTCTCTGTTCATTAGTCACATCCCCAGGCCCCTCTTATATTTCTTTGGCTTTCCACTTTGAATTTTTATTCTTACAAAAAATAGAAGATTTACTGTTATGCAGACTACTGCATTAGTGTAGAAATGGTGTAAATAATATCAGCGCACTTGTGAAAAAATATTAGACTTGCCAGTTGATGTGTATTGGACGCTTGGCATGATTTGTTTACTTTTGAACTTTGGTAAAAATTGAACATTTCTGCTACTTTGAGTTCAATTTCAAGGTACTTTTCATTGTAAAACCAGTCAAAATTATCTCAATTTCTGTAAAATGTCTTCCATTCTATAAAATGAGACCAGGAAAACTAGAATACAACAATAAATACCATACGAAAATACAGTGCAAAGTCGCTGTTTTAATCCAAAAACACGGTCGTTTTTTTTTTCTCATTACGCACTGTGTGCTGCAGGATTTTTTTTATACTGTGCACACTGACCATATAGACCCATTCTTCCATATGTAGGCCTACCAGCTTTCTCTCGCTAGATTTGAAGGCGCTAGAATTTAGGTGTACTAGTACGTCAAAAACTCCGGTGTGTAAGCCATACTAGTACGGCCAAAACCCTGAAAGGGTTAATAGACGTATAATGTAGCCAATGCATTTTTTTATGAGCAGTAGTCAAGATGATTACAGAAGCATATGATGGTACCTGGTAAAATTACTGAGCTTTTAAATTACTGACATCATATAGCAGGTTGATGATTTATAGTATAACCATGAGTTATGCAACATTTTAGGTTGGATTATGTTAGACTAGTGCTTGCCAATAATTTACTAATTTTTTTTACCTCTGACCAATTGATGACTTGTAAACTTTGATATCATTGGCATTTCATATAAAGGGTCCAGGAGCTAATCCAACCATTCCATTTATTTATCTCTTTATTTATGTGAAATACTAAGTCCTCGGAGAAAGTTGATTATGTATTTTAAAGTGCTGAGTTATTTACAAGATGAGTTGGTATGTTCAGCCATACAAATAATACTGTATAAAAATGAAAGTTTTTCTTTTTTGGACTACCCTGCCTTGGTGGGAAGTGGCCGATGTGTTAACTTAATAAAATAAAATAAATAATGCTGTAGTAGTGACAGTGATATTTTTTTCTTAAGAGTCAAATATTTGTAAAACTGTAGTGTAATGTACAGAAATGTAAATTCAGGCATTAGCTTGAATGATACAAAGGTAGAGCAAGTCAGGTACCAAGTTGTCACTATGGTACTGTAATGAATTAGAGCCTTTTCCTCGCTTAGCGACGTACTCGTTTACCAACGCCTCAGGCTTATGACGGGCTCTCTGACCAGTATGCATACCTAAATAATGTATATTAGAGCTGATTTCCTCTACTTATTAGAGTATACAGTACACTACTGCATAAACATTTAAAAATATTCCAGAAATGTTATAAATGGTGCAAAAGTGACATTAAAAAATATCAAGGATGGCTGACATAAACCCACTACCATTATAGTGTGCTCCTCACTTAGCGACGAATTTGTTTACCGATGTGGTCTTAGGAACGGATCTCTGTTGTTAAGTGAGGAGAGGCTGTACTTGATTTTTACAGAATCTTATGATTTCTAAGCCCTCCCAAGATTGATATCCTGACTGTGACACTGGTTCCAGCCCACCTAAGGAATACTGATTGATCACCATATTTTTATTTTCTCAGCTGAAATGATGAAACAACCCCCTCTAGGTATACCTGGAGAGGGTTTCAGAGGTCAACACCCCTATGGCTCAGTCTGAGACCAGGCCTCATGGTGGATCAGGGTCTGATCAACCAGGCTGTTGCTCACATGCAAACTGATGTATGAACCACAGCTCGGCTGGTCAGGTGCTGACTGTAGGTACCTGTCCAGTTCTTTCTTGAAGACAGCCAGGGGTCTATTGGTAATCCCCCTTATGTATGCTGCGAGGCAGTTGAACAGTCTTGGGCTCCTGACACTTATTGTGTTGTCTCTGTGTACTCGTGGTGCCCTTGCTTTTCATTGGGGGAATGTTGCATCTTCTGTTGAGTCTTTTGCTTTCATACGGAGTGATTTTCATGTGTGAGTTTGGTACTAATCCCTCTAGGATTTTTCAAGTTATGTTATCATGTCTCTCTCTCGCCTGCTTTCCAGGGACTTCAACCGTTCCCAGTAATTTAGGTGCCTTATCGTACTTGTGTGTGTCGTGAAAGCTCTTTGTACACTCTCCAGGTCGGCAATTTTGTCTACCTTGAAGAGGGCAGTTAGTGTACAGCAGTATTCCAGCCTAGAGAAAACAAGCAGTTTGAAGAGCATCATCATGGGCTTGGCATCCCTGGTTTTGAAGGTTCTCATTATCCATCCTATCATTTTCCTAGCAGATTTGGTAGATACAGTGTTGTGGTCTTTGAAGGCGAGATCCTCTGACATTATCACTCCCAGGTCCTTCACATGACTTTTTCGCTCTGTTGTATGGTTAGAATTTGTTGTATACCCTGATACAGTTTTAATTTCCTCAAGTTTTCCATATCTGAGTAGTTGAAATTTCTCTTCATTGAACTTCATATTGTTTTGAGTGGCCCATTTGAAGATTTGGTTTATGTCCGCTTGGTGAAGAATATTTCCTTTAACATATCATTTAGTATGAATAATGATGCTGGATCCTCAGCAGAGTGAATATTGTAATGGTTGTATTGTACGGGAATAGAATTTAGTAAAACTTTCATTGTTAAATGAAGTGGGGGGGGGGACCAGGTTCACACGTCTGGTTACACCCTAATATCCCAGAAATAGCACAGATGACTTCATGTCAAGATAGGTATGTAACATGCATCTGCAACCGTTCTGGCAAGTACACTTAGGATGACATGTAGCTTGGCAGTATTAAATGTATCTTTACAACTTTATAAATCTAAGATGCACTGGGCTACAACTCCATCTGTATGATTTGAAAATGGATGTCTCAAGGGCAGTTCCTTCATGCCAGTGAGGGGTTCATGAACCAAGGAATTTTAACTGGCCTTCCCTTTTCCCCCTGTTGCCATCCCTTAATTTACCTCCCTTTCCATCCACCCTGCATCCTACTTTTCTCTCCCTCCTTAGGAAGTCTCAATGATTCATGTTTATTCCTCCCCACTTCCGTGTGTGAAAGCTCAATTACCCACTGTAACTTCACACTCGCTCTTTCTTGATTGCTTTCTGTCTCATTGTCGTGCTGTTCCAGTGTATACTGATGGTTCTAAATCTCCCAGTGAAATTGAGTATACAGCAGCTTTTTCTGGCTAAATCACAACTCGTATCCGAGTTGTAGGCAACTGTCATGTTCATCATACACATTGTATCAGTGGCCCCCTCATCACTGTAGTTGTTCATACACGAACAGTGTGTCACAGGCTATCCAGAAACTCGATTCCTTCATTTCGTTGGCCTACATACATATACAGTGGTACCTTGGTATATGTCCACTTTAGAATAAGTCCAACTTGGTATACATCCTGTTTAGACGCGAAAATTTTTGCTTCGTATATGACCTTTGTTGGGAATACCACTTGCGTACTAGAACTTGTATGGATCAAAATCAGTCATGGCACCGCGTGCTACCCTTGTTTACCACTCTCTCAAGACAAAGCCATGACTGCCCACTGGCATAAGTGTGCCTGTTGCTACTATTCAGTGAACAGCCTGCACTGTAACTCTCTGAATTTTCATGTGATTGTGTTTTTTCATATAATTTTTTAGTAAATTCATTAACCCCCCTAACATGACTCCTCTCGTTCAGGCCATGGATCAACAGGTCAAAGAAGAGAAGGGAACTCTCTTTCCAAACAATAACATTGCCTCCTCCCTTCTCAGCACTATCCTAATAGGCATTTGACTCTTTTCAGCAAAGTAAAGTGAGGTTAAATTTGCATTTATTTCATCTAATTCTTTGTATTTATGTATGTATTTTAGTATTAAGCACTTTAAATTACATGTTTTAGTATTAAGCAGTGTTTAAATTATTTTATACAACCCCATCAGTGTAAAATATGCCAATAACAATAGGATTTTTTTTCATGGAAACGGATTAATCGTTTTCCCTATATTTCTTGTGGGAAAATTCGTTTAGTATACGTCCTGTTTGGTATAAGTGCAAGGTCCTGGAACTGATTAAGGACATATACCGAGGTACCACTGCACTACTTTGGTTATGCTGCATTTCTAGTAAACACAGATGTCATTTTTTACTGGGTCCCTGTACTCTTTGATGTTCAGGGTAATGAACAGGCAGACTCAGCCATTTAGCCAGCTGTTCATACCTCCCAATTTTTGCACAGGTGTAGTCCAGTAATCTCTTGACCCATCACACCACATGGCAAACCCATATTTTTTGGGTTCTGGTTATCTTTTTTACCATTTTTTTTTTTTATTATCACACTGGCCCGATTCCCACCAAGGCAGGTGCCCGAAAAAGAAAAACTTTCACCATCATTCACTCCATCACTGTTCTTGCCAAAGGTGCATTAACAACTACAGTTTTTAAAACTGCAACATTAACACCCCTCCCTTCAAGTGCAGCACTGTAACTTCCCATCCTCCAGACTCAAGTCCGGCCTGCCGGTTCCATGAATCCCTTCATAAATGTTTCATGGCTCACTACTCCAACAGCACGTCAAGTATTAAAAAACCATCAGTCTCCATTCACTCCTATCAAACCACCTCACGCATGCCTGCTGGAGTCCAAGCCCCTCGCACAAAAACCACCTTACCCCCTCCCTCCAACCTTTCCTAGGCTGACCCCTACCCGCCGTCCTTCCACTACAGACTGATTTACACTCTGAAGTCATTCTGTTTCGCTCCCATTTCTCTCTACATGTCCGAACCACCTCAACAACCCTTCCTCAGCCCTCTGGACAACATTTTGGTAATCCCCGCACCTCCTCCTAACTTCCAAACTACGAATTCTCTGCATTTATTCACACCACACATGCCCTCAGTACATACATCTCCACTGCCTTCCAGCCTTCTCCTCGCTGTCAACATTCATCACCCACGCTTCACACCCATATAGAGCGTTGGTAAAACTATAACTCTCAGACAGTCCCCTCTTGCCTCCAAGGACAAAGTTCTTTGTCTCACAGCTCAAGTGCACCACTCACTCTTTGTCCCTCATCAATTCTTTGATTCACCTCATCCGTTCTAGACCCGATCCTCTGACACGTTCCCACCCCAAATAACTGAATACATTCTCCCTCCTCCATACTCTCTCCCTCCAATCTGATATCCAATCTTCTTCACCTAATCTTTTGTTATCCCATAACGCTTACTCTTCCTGTATTCACCTTTAATTTTCTTCCTTTTGCACACCCTAACAAATTCATCCACCAATCTCTGCAACTTCTTTTCATATTCTCCCAAGAGAAAAGTGTCATCAGCAAGAGCAGCTTGACAAACCTCCCACTTGTGTTGATTCTTTATTCTTTTAACTCCACGCCTCTTGCCAGACCCTCGCATTTACTTCCTCTTACAACCCATCGATCAATATATTAAATAACCACGGTGACATCACACATCCTTTGTCTAAGGCCTTACTTTTACTGGGAAAAAAATTTCCCTCTTCCTACATACTCTAACTTGAGCCTCACTATCCTCGTAAAAACTCTCACTGCTTTCAGTAACCTACCTCCTACACATACACTTGCAACATCTGCCACATTGTTCCCCTATCCACCCTGTCAAACGCCTTTTCCAATTCCATAAATGCCAACAAAGACCTCTATTACCTTATCTAATACTGTTCACTTATATTTTCCACTGTAAACACCTGGTCCACAACCCCCACCTTTCCTAAAGCCTCCTGGTTCACTGCTATCCTATTCTCCGTCTTTACTCTTAATTCTTTCAATTATAACTCTACCATACACTTTACAGGTATTCTCAACAGACTTATCCCCCTATAATTTTTGCACTCTCTTTTATCCCCTGTGCCTTTATACAAAGGAACTATGCATGCTCTCTGCCAATCCCTAGGTACCTTACCCTCTTCCATACATTTATTAAATAATTGCACCAACCACTCCAAAACTATATCCCCACCTGCTTTTAACATTTCTATCTTTATCCCATCAATCCCGGCTGCCTTACCCCCTTTCATTTTTACCACTGCTGTCATATTTATAAGACTGCACTCTTCATCTTGCATGTCGGCCACATGCATCTCTCTCACGGACGCCTCGTGGAAAAATGCTTGGCCCCATTCTGTGAGGAATCATTTTGCATTGTAATTTGATCATATCCTAATTGATTCCAACATCTGCGCTGCCCCAACACACTTGTTCTATCCAGTCTTCTTACTGAAAATCTCATCTTTGATGCAGATTCTCCTGTTTTTAACAGAAAATATGGGGTGTATGCTAACATTCCTATGGCATGTAGAAATATACCTAGTTGAATTAATCTTGTTAGGTTGGCATGGACCAGTGGTTATTACATTGGCCTGCAAGTTTTAGGACTACCTTGCTTGAGTTTGAGTCTCAACTCATTCTGTAATTTGTTTGCAATTCATGTTACGATTTTGTGAGTCATTTCTTATGGCCCTCATTCATAAGTGTGGATGTTCATAGCTCTAACATTTTTAAATTTATGGCTTCCTTCTCTGTACAGTAGGGCCCCAACTTATGAACATGTGGTAGTCCACAGTGTTTTAGTTTATGAACAAGTTGTTTGTAACTAATGATACTACAAAGGATGTTTACATGTTACCTGTTTGTAACTGCAGATCAGCCCCTTTAGAGAGGTTCCTTGATATCCATGAGAGACTCTTGATCCAAAGAATTGAACCCAACCTCTCCTTTCTTGGACTTAACCTGATTACCTCCCATTCCTCAAAAAGCTGTATAAATCCCATGAGTTTAGTAGTACAGTGGTACACCGAGTTTTATGCAGCTCTTAAGTCGAACAATTATGTAAGTGTATTATTGTAAGTGCTTTTGTAAGTGTATTTTTGGGGATCTGAAATGGACTAATCTAATTTACATTATTCCTTATGGGAACAAATTCATTTGGCAACGGCACTCGAACAGACTCCTGGAATGAATTACGGCCGAAATTCTGGGTACCACTGTACAGTGTATTACGCATATGGTAACTGTTGGCATTCATAAAAAAAAAGTTTTCCTATATGTCCCTCATTTGTATGCATTATCAGTATAACTGATGCATTTGGAAGTTAAGGCTCTACAGTACTCTCCATGCAAATTAGCAAGTTAAAATAATTATTTTAATCATTGTTTTAATTCACTAAACACTTGAACATTATTATTACAATTGTTTACTGACTTTTAAAGTTTAAATTGTGAACTTGTACCATAACATTTTTTATTTAATTTTTCTATTTTGCAGGAGAAGTTTGAACACAAGTGTCGCACTGGGCAATTGTCATACGCAGACAGAGAATTCAAGTTCGTGTAAGAAGTGAAGATGAAAGCAATATCTCTAGTTCGATATTTTGGTAATCCACTTGTTATTGTGACCTTTATGATTTTTGAAATGAGCCTTTTAAACTGTACAGTGTATTTATTATAAATTAAAGAATTTCATGTATTTGGGATTGCCTTTCAAAGATGAACCTGTATGAGAAAAGTCTACAACCACATGTGTATATACAGAATAGCATTGCAGGATTGTGAGTAAAAGGTAATAAATATTGTAATATTAAAGATTTTTATTTCCCTTAGCATGTTATTCTCCCCTTGTGGTGATTGATAATTACATAAAAGGTTTATGCACCAGTTAAAATGCACTTTTGTCTTTCTTCAACAGATGTATCCTTTACTGCCCATTAGACACAACCTCTTAATCATTTATAGGTGCTGTATGGCCATGAATATAATTCTAATCATTCATATATCCCTTACAAATAACAAAAAGTCACAATACCATGACTGGAACGATACACGATACCTTGTAAATGGTCCAAGTCGGACCGAAACGTCGTTGTAAGCTCCTCTCTTCTTTATGCGGGTTATTTGTGTATATCCCTACTTTCCCTACCTTGATTCCAGTGAAGGGCTCTTTAAGAAATTTGAAGACTCACTTGGTCTGAATTTGATTGCTTTCTTTCCCCCAGCTACTTTGACCCCTATTGATTTAGCACTGCTTTGAATGAAAAAAATTACAGCTCTTACACAGCACCAAAAATTTTCAATGTAGAAATCCCTTCATTTCAGAAAAAATAAACTTTGAGTTGGGTTCTGTATAAGAGTATGACAGTATGGAGAAATGCAATATGTTGATAGAGGCTTTGTGGCCTAATACTGTATAAGTTGGGTCACTGGCAAGGGCTGCCACAAAATCTTTCCATCCCTGTAGAGAAGTATTGGCAATATTTCTATATTATACAAGATCAGTTGTTTATTTGCAGTCTGATTCAAAATTAGCTAGTTTTCCATCCTGTTGAAATCAGAAATTTGTTAAAAAACAATCCTGCAACCTTGGTATAAACCAGCTTTGCAATATTGTAGGTAACTTAAAGTGGCACTTCAAAAAGTACATAGTGGTTTATTTCAACCACTACATCTCTTGTGAAGGGCTCCATTTAATCTGAAATTACTGGGAGGGTAACAGTCTAGAAGCAGAAGTTCTTAAAACATTGCAGCCCCCTGAGGGCAGACTGTACACAGTGTACTGGCTGTAATGGCTCTTGTGAATCAATGGGCTGCTAACAGCAACAGTCTGGTTGACCAGGCAGTCAACAAGGAAGCCTGGCTGTGAGAGCAGATCTGTCAAATCAGTCAGTCATGATTGTTGTCGATGCTTAGAACAACACTGGCTGGGTTTTCCTTTGCCAGAGTAGTCATGAGTTGTATTAACCAACTAGGTGCTGTTTCCTTTGTTTGCAGTGTAATGGTAAACCCCATATACTACTTGTTTCACTAGCTTGGAGTTGAGTTTTTTTTTTTTTTAAGGCAGAAACACTTAACATTTTAAATTATTATTTAAGATTAATGAAGCCAACACTTTGCTGATGTGTTTTATACCCTTGACATTGGGCTCGAGAATGTTTCGCAAATCTCCTGAAGACCCTTTTCAGACTGAAGCCTTGTGCCGTTGAGGAGAAAACTGGAGAAAGCATTGTTGTGTATTCCCCGACTGAATGCCAGGTACCCATTGTCCTCTTTAAGAGTTTGGAACTTATGATCCAAATGATCATGCTGTCACTTCTGAATATAAACTTTAATATTATTATTCTTTGTTGCTGCATTCATAATAATAATATTACAGCTTCTCCACACTTAGCGATGTACTCATTTACTGACGACTCCGTAAACGAGTACGACAGGCTCTATGACCAGTATTCATACCTAAATAAAGTATATTAGAGCTGATTTCCTCTATTGTTTATTTCAGCATACAGTACACAACTATAAACATTTAAAAATATACTAGAAATGTTATAAATGGTGCAAAAGTGACATTAAAATAATACCAAAGATGGTTGACACAAATCCACTACCATTGTAGTATGATCCTCACTTAGCAATGAATTAGTTTACCAACGTGGTCTTGGGAACGGAACTCCATTGTTAAGTGAGGAGAAGCTGTATAATAATCTTTATTTCTACAAGTAAATGTACAAGGTATACAGGCCTAGCTGACATCAGTGACTTACTACTATTATAATGTATATAGAAATCCCCTTGTTATGCAGGAGCATTTCTGGCAAATTAGGTCAATAGTTATCCCAGATGTGGCCCCACACCATCCGACTAACACCCAGGTATCCATTTTACCGATGGGTGAACATAGACAATTGGTGTAAGGAAATACATCCAATGATTCCACCTTCGCTGGGAATTGAACCCGGACCCTCACTGTGTGAAGCGAGAGCTTTTGCCACCAAGCCACAGGGCACCGTAAGGAAACATGTCGTAGTGTTTTCCATCCATACCACAGTGTGTGAGCTGAGTGTGCTAGCAGTCAAGTTATGGGATACTATGGCTTTGCTTGGAAGCACTTGTGAATTTCTTGAAAGAATAGGAGCCCAATTATTATTAATAATAACTGCTGTATGTCCCTTGTGGGTTTAGGTTTTGATTATAATAATAATGAGTGGAGACGAATGGTTTCTGGGACTTGGTGAGCTGTTGGAGTGTGAGCAGGGTAATATTTTGTGAAGGGATTCAGGGTAAACCAGTTAGCTGGACTTGAGTCCTGGAGGTGGAAAGTACAATGCCTACACTTTAAAGGAGGGGTTTGGGATACTTGCTGTTTAGATTGACATCTAAACTGTTGTATCTGCGTGCTTCTGCAAAGACTGATAGTGTGAATGATGGTGAAAAGTGTTTTTTTGAGGGGAAAGATCACCCTGCCTCGGTGGGAGATGGCCAACGTGCTAAAAACAATATTAAAAATCTGTAACAAATTAATTAACCAATAAGGAGTTTAGTTAATTATATTACACACCTCAAAAGATTAATAGGTCCAGGGACAGTACCTTAACATTACAGACAGGCCCGTTTCTGGTAGGCAACACACTCACTTCACACTGAGTGTCTGTGGTTCAATCCCCACCAAGGGTGGAAACATTGGGCATGCTTCCTTACACCTATTGTTCCATTCACCTAGCAAGCAGATAGGTACCTGGTTGTTAATGAACTGGTGTGGGTCACATCCTGGGGGACAAGATTGAGGACCTCAATGGAAATAAGATAGTCCCTCAATGACAAACGTACTGCCTTTCTTGGGTTATCCTGGGCGACTAACCCTTTGGGGTTAAAAATCTGAACAAAAATTTATAATGGGTCCAGGGACTGTACCTCAGTATTACACACACAAAGGCAGCGCTGTATAGCCCTTGTGGCTTAGCGCTTCTTTTTGATTATAATAATAATACACACAAACACAATGGGTCCAGAGACTGTACTTCATCATTACAGAGGCACATAATGGGTCTACAGACTGTACCTCAACATTACAGAGGCACATAATAGGTCCAGGGACTGTAACTGAATATTACAGAGGCACTTAATGGGTTCAGGGACTGTACCTCAACATTATAGAAGTACATAATCGCTACACGATGTAGCACGTAATGAAAGTAGTTTATTAGATTATGTATTGGTGGATAAAAGGTTGATGGGTAGGCTCCAGGATGTACATGTTTATAGAGGGGCAACTGATATATCGGATCATTATTTAGTTGTAGCTACAGTTAGAGTAAGAGGTAGATGGGAAAAGAGGAAGGTGGCAACAAGAAGTAAGAGGGAGGTGAAAGTGTATAAACTAAGGGAGGAGGAAGTTCGGGTGAGATATAAGCAACTATTGGCAGAAAGGTGGGCTAGTGCAAAGATGAGTAGTGGGGGGGGGGGTTGAAGAGGGTTGGAATAGTTTTAAAAATGCAGTATTAGAATGTGGGGCAGAAGTTTGTGGTTATAGGAGGGTGGGGGCAGGAGGAAAGAGGAGTGATTGGTGGAATGATGAAGTAAAGGTGTGATAAAAGAGAAAAAGGTAGCTTATGAGAGGTTTTTTTCAAAGCAGAAGTGTTATAAGAAGAGCAGAGTATATGGAGAGTAAAAGAAAGGTAAAGAGAGTGCAAAAGGAGAGCAGATGATAGAGTGGGAGAGGCACTGTCAAGAAATTTTAATGAAAATAAGAAAAAATTTTGGAGTGAGTTAAACAAGTTAAGAAAGCCTAGGGAAAGTATGGATTTGTCAGTTAAAAACAGAGTAGGGGAGTTAGTAGATGGGGAGATGGAGGTATTAGGTAGATGGCGAGAATATTTTGAGGAACTTTTAAATGTTAAGGAAAAAAGAGAGGCAGTAATTTCATGCACTGGTCAGGGAGGTAAACCATCTTTTAGGAGTGAAGAAGAGCAGAATGTAAGTGTGAGGAGGTACATGAGGCATTACGTAAAATGAAAGGGGGTAAAGCAGCTGGAACTGATGGGATCATGACAGAAATGTTAAAAGCAGGGGGGGATATAGTGTTGGAGTGGTTGGTACTTTTGTTTAATAAATGTATGAAAGGGGAAGGTACCTAGGGATTGGCGGAGAGCATGTATAGTCCCTTTATATAAAGGGAAAGGGGACAAAAGAGACTGTAAAAATTATAGAGGAATAAGTTTACTGAGTATACCAGGAAAAGTGTACGGTAGGGTTATAATTGAAAGAATTAGAGGTAAGACAGAATGTAGGATTGCGGATGAGCAAGGAGGTTTCAGAGTGGATAGGGGATGTGTAGATCAAGTGTTTACATTGAAGCATATATGTGAACAGTATTTAGATAAAGGTAGGGAAGTTTTTATTGCATTTATGGATTTAGAAAAGGCATATGATAGAGTGGATAGAGGAGCAATGTGGCAGATGTTGCAAGTATATGGAATAGGTGGTAAGTTATTAAATGCTGTAAAGAGTTTTTATGAGGATAGTGAGGCTCAGGTTAGGGTGTGTAGAAGAGAGGGAGACTACTTCCCGGTAAAAGTAGGTCTTAGACAGGGATGTGTAATGTCACCATGGTTGTTTAATATATTTATAGATGGGGTTGTAAAGGAAGTAAATGCTAGGGTGTTCAGGAGAGGGGTGGGATTAAATTTTGGGGAATCAAATTCAAAATGGGAATTGACACAGTTACTTTTTGCTGATGATACTGTGCTTATGGGAGATTCTAAAGAAAAATTGCCAAGGTTAGTGGATGAGTTTGGGAATGTGTGTAAAGGTAG